ACGCGCTTCTAACAAGTGGTTCTCATGTATCAACATTTGCATATAATTCGTTTTAATTCATTAAAAAACATTATTTTTATATAAATGAGATGAATGCCATATATTGTGTGTGTATATATATATGTATATATGCATTTTATATATATATATAAATTATCTTTAAATAATTTATATTTTCCGTATCTATGCACTGTAAAGATTTATATAAACTTAGTTAAAAAGAGAGTTAATATAAGAATATCTATATGTCAAGCTGTGTTTAATGCAAAATTTAAAATGCATGTCCTGACGTTGAAAAAGATAAATATATTAATGAAAAAATTAAGCTCTCGAACGGGAGAAACAAAGGGAGAAACCGAGGGGGTCCCGAGAAGGCTGCGTCGGGAGTGTATGAACTCGTACAAAGTGTAAGTACGAGTTTGCACGCGCAAGAGACTGCGAGAGGACGCGCGAGCTGCAGCTGCAGATGTTGTAATTATTTCTGGCCGGTATAACAAAGTATTAGGCAAGATGATTATTGCAAAAATATTGAAAGTTCTGTGAATTAATTCTGAAGTATATTTTTTGTGTTTTTAAAAATTTGTCAGTCGGTTGCCACAATAATAAACTTTGCAAGGTACATGTAAAAGTTTCAAAATTTTATTGATTATCCAGAGCTTTATAAAAATCGATAAAGTTGTATAAAAACAATTTATAAAAAATTTCTTTATCTGTAAAAATTATTTATTTTTGTTATGGGTCTAGAAAGAATTACAATAATATTCTGAATTCTGAATTATTAATTGTTATATTTTTGTTAGATACTAAACAAATTATAAAAAGAATATTAGAAGATAAATTTCGGAATAATATATCTAGTTCTGGAAATTAATGATCTATATTTTCAAGCAATTGTTAATTGACACTTATTGTATCAATCATGGGAAACAAATCAGATGCATCCCTTTTATTCTCCCACGTGGGCCGATATTGTCTTATCTCGAACGGAAGGAGCAACGAGAGGATAGCGAAGGGGACACGTGAACATTAGTGTCAGTGAAGTGAGTGAATGAGTGCAGTCACGATTCTCTCGCAAGAAATTCTCTGTACACAAGAGTTGCATTTGCAAGAGGTATCACTTATAGAGAACAAGACGTCTATCTAGAATCCTGTCGCAAGAAGTTAACGGTAGGATATTTTCCTAAACAGAATTCTTTAAAAAATTTGTCATGAAAATTGAACATTCTATTAATTAATACTTTTGCAACAAATTCTTGATAAATATAATATTCTGTTGATCAAAATTCTCTTGCAAAGAATCTGTGATAATAAACAGATTTTTTTCTATCAATTTTTCTCGTAAGAAATTCTTTGTAAGAAATTTTTCATAAAAATTTTTCTATTGTAAAAAATGAATAGAATATTCCAATGACTGCAATATCCTCTCACGCAGAAAATCTTTTATAAATAGAATCATTTAAATTGAACTCTAAAATTTTTTCATCGACAAAACATTAGCATAATCGAAGCGTTGAAACAACATTCGTCTCTGATTCTACCTCTCATTTCACTTCGAAAATTCGCAATACACGGCTGTCATTAATATCACGACAGATCGATCGATATCGCGCGACTTGCACGATGAATCATTCTTGTGACAGGCGAGCGAATGCTCGGTCACGTTTTAACTCCCCTAAACTGTTCGTCTCTTTTCCTCCTCCATTGTGCACTGGATAAAAAAAGGAATCGAATTTATTACGACACTCCGTGACTGGCGGTTTCGATAGGGCCGCTCCGAACATAGATTTCATCTTTACTCAACACTGACGAGACCTCGACTGATATCTTTGCCTAATATCCTGAATAGCTCTCTAACTTTATCTCGAAACGTCATGAAAACTTATTGAATATCTATAATTGTGATCTTTTTTGAAAAATAATATTACAGAATTATGTTTAGTAGTCTATATAATAAGAGTTAGTAATTTATATAGAATTGTAATTCTTTTTTTAAGAGGACAAACTTTTCAGAGAGCTAATTCAGTTTCCATCACGTTAATAATTTTGAGTTAAATAAAAATATGTTTAATTACACACATACGTACCTAAATGGATGGATAAGTAGCCGCGAAAACCTTGTTAAACAATTAAAGCTATCGCAACGAATGATAAATCAATAAAACAAGGCAGATTACATGTCACATTAAGCGCGATAAAAGGTCACGTCGGTTCATCGTAAAATTTCTGCATCGCCAAGCGCTTTCAGTCGTCTTGTGTCAACCACATTTGTGTCACGCTCGCAGGGACAATTGAGACGAGAATTAGGTAGCCGTAACCACTGCAAATCCCTCTCGAGTGGGTCAATGAAGAAGAGCGATAATGGTTGCGAGATCCATACATGATTTTGAAACGACAAATCACCGAAGAGTTGAAAAATTTCCAATCTTTTAGTTTCATAAATTATAAACATTAAATTTAACAACAACAAAAATTGAAAATTATAATATAACTGTTCGAGTTATGAGAAATTAAAAATTTTGATTCTTTAATTCCAATTTTATAAAATTTTCATTTTGAATAAAATTGTTACTTATCGCTATATGTGTAATAAGATTCATTTTAAAAATTTGTCAAATTTTTCTCGTCAAGGGACTAATTTATACGGATAAATTTAAAATCATTAATCTCGTGTATGAATCGGCTCGTATATACATATATATCTCGATAATTAATCATCGGTTATTTGCGGTTTCGAGATCTCGTTCTCTCACTCGTGAGTTTGCATGCCGACGCGGATTGTTTGACAGAAACAACGTCTACGATTACTCGGGAAGA